ATGGATCATTTCCGACCTAAAATTCTGTTCATTTACCAACAGCTAAAAAGCCCAGGTTTGGTCGCTTAATAGGGTCAGAAACCGATTTTCTTAGTTTCACAAAATATTGATTGAATTATTGTGGTTCATAACTAAAATTCCGTGTTTTCAATTTAAAAAAAAAAATCGAAAAACATTTGCCGGTACTTTTTTCATCAATACCGATTTATCCTAAAAACCCCGAATTCTGAGGTCACAACGACAGAATAAAAACAAAATAAAAAAATTCGGTGTTTTACAAATTAACTTCATAAGAGCACAGGGTCAGTGGTCGTGAGAAAATGCCGCCTGTTTCCTTTGAAATCTCGAATTACCGACAAAAGTGTGTTCGCCTTTTAGCTGGTCAAAGTTCGTTCAGGACAACAAATCATAATACTCGTATTTATTTTATTTTTTCTGGAAAAAAAGGGGGGGGGGGGGGGGTCACAGTGAAATAAATTTTGAATTTCAGAGAATGGCGAATCTAATAACAATAAACCCCGATAAACCCCGAATTTTCAGCGAAAAATAAACTCTAAAAAACACCCTCCAAATTTTACGAGAAATAAACTGCGAAAACACGGAATCATATCAATAACCTACCAAACGTCCATTAGTTTTTCCCCCTCCCAACAGTCGTTATTTCTTTTTTGCGATTAAGTTTAGTTTATTTTATTAATCCTCAAAGGCGCCTCATTGAAGTGCATTACAATTCAATTCAATTCGACGTTTATATTCCTCGTGCTTACCAACGGCCCGAGGGCCTTCGTTGTAAAATACAAAACATGCGATGCACAATTCGCCAGAAATATAAAGGTCATACCGAAGTTTCAAACCATTCACACGCTTAAAATTCATGAAATAACAGAGAATATACAAGCGGGCTGGTATACTTTCAACATCGTGTGTGTCGTCCGTCTTTTGTCCCTGGTCTCGGCTGTTCAATATGTTAAAAATCAATCAATCAATCAATCAATTTATTTATTTTTCTTTCACCTGGAAAGATGGTAGCTGGGGCGTAAAGCTGCAACACGCGCAGCTTGACAAGGCCCCAGCTCCAAGGCAGCAGCGCGCCTACAGGGCTTTGTTCACATGCACACTCTTGAATTCAAGCACACTCTTGAAAAGGGACAGATTTTGCAGAAAAACCAATTATTAATCTTTCAAAACTTTGTGTTTAAAACATGACGGATTCGTAGTACCGGTGACAAATTGTGATGAAAATCTGCGTAAAATGCTCTACGATTTCTAGAGCTTGTTCTAACAGGAATGCGAAAATGTAGAGAAGCGAGGAGACGCACGACTGTTTATTAATCTATGAACTATTAACCTATGCGGACAACTTAACATCCCGGATAGACCTCCTGTTACTTTAAGTGCCCAGTCTTAGTCGATATAAAATCTAATTATATTCAATATAACATTTGCGACCATAATATCGTCGTAGATTATCCGTAAAAATCGTTTTCGTATGTGTTCGATATTTTCACTTGCTCTACTAGAGAGTTCTAAACGAAAAATGCGACTTCGAGTTTGCAGCGTACATGCGTACTGAGGAATCTCATCATAAGGAAAAATGTAACATAAAAAAAAAAAAAAATTAACAGAGGGGGGGGGGGGGGGGGGTCGCCGAATAACAGTTCGGGAAATTACGACAAAGGGACATATTTACAGCTAATATAACAAAACAGAAGTAAAAAAAAAAGTGTAAGTGATAGTGAATAAAAATTTGACCAACGAAAAACACTTGTGAGGTGTGCCTGGCAAAGATCACCGAATTTTGCCGGATTAGTTCCGAGTACGATTACTTCATGAAGATAATTACAGTCAATATTAGCTAAAAAAAAAAAGGGAGAATTTTTTTTTTAAGTTTTTGCTTTATTTTGATGTTGACTGCCTATTTAAACCAGGAGAAGTCGCATTTTCGAGATGTAACGACAGCCGATAATGCCGGCGACGGCAAGAGCGTAGCATATGAGTTGCTGAGCTCCGTTGACGACGAAAATGTGCGAAAAGTAAGAAAGACGGCTATGAAACCGTTCAAATTTCCTTGGTAAAACATATAAAATAGCGCAACAGGAACAAGGACAAGAAGTAAACAGGACCATTCCTGTCCTTGTTCCTGTTGCTCTATTTTATATGTTTTACTAAGATGAAACAACTAGCCCAACAACGTACCTTACCAAATTTCCTTGTCCTGTAATGTCCAGCCAAACAACAAAAAAAGTCAGTGGAAAAAAAAAGTGCTGCCGCCAGTGAGGTTTGAACTCACGACCCCTGGTTTACGAGACCAGTGCTCTACCACTGAGCTATAGCGGCGGACAGGAATGGCGCTTCCAAAACCGGCTCACAACCTGCTCTTCGGGTTATTTCTTGATCGCCGCTGTTTTCTCTCTTTTTTAATCCGCCTGGATTCTTTCGGAGTTGTCTTTTCGTTTTTGATAGCGCCCGCTCGCTTTTCCCTTCCTTCGCCATCTCCGGCGCGGTCGGTCGCTTGCCTTGGCTAGTGCGCCCACTCCTTGCGAGAAAAGTGGCGATGCTACTTGTGGCGCCATCTCTACGCGTCATAGGTAACGTTCGTGAACGGCTTCAAAATTCCTAGTTGCTGTTAAATAAATAAATAAAAAAAGAAAAAGTAAGCAGATTATTTTGCTAGTTTTTGTTTTTTTAGGAAAAAAAATTTAAAACTATGGAAGACAAAAGAAAAAAAACGTTGTTTTGTGTATTGTAATTACAACTAACGGGTGTCCGCATAAAAAGGAAATCAGTCTTTGTTAGTGTGGGTATATGTGCGTGTTTTCTTTTCTTTTCTTTTTTTTTTTTTTTTTTGGGGGGGGGGGGCGGCGGCTGCGCGCGCGCCTGTGTGTGTGTGTGTGTGTGTGTGTGTGTATTTATTTTACTGCAAAAATGAGCTATCAACCAGATGATAAATTTTAAGCGCTTGCTGCTATCAATACACAGGTTATAGATGATTTTCGAAGATTTTAAAAGAGAAAATGGAGCTTGTTTTGAAAAAAAAAAAAAAAAACTATCATTCATAAATATTGAGCATTATAACGGCAAGCACTAAAACCCCGAAATCTGTAGGGTCCGGACCACTAGCGCTACATTTCGACTGAGATGAGCAGTTTATGGACATGGTTCGGAGAGGAGTAGTTTATTTTTGCGGTGAACATTTTTAAACTCATTTTCGCGGTCACTCGATGTTGTACTTTAATGCATCATAAACTCCTCCAATTGTCACTATCCCATAAAATAAAAAAAAAAACGGCCAATCTAAAAAGAAAGAAAAATGACAACTACGTTTATGTTTTTTTTTTTTTTTTTTTGAAACGCGTTTATAATTGTGATTCTGTGACCCTTTGTTCGGTTTACAACGCAGCTTTTCCTAAAAAACGAAAATGAACGCCGTGTACGGCCTACTACTTCTACTTTGACATTTCCAGCAGTTTGTTCCTCGCAACAACGCACTTTGTCGAGTGCCCTCGTCTGTGGCTGTCGTTTAGTTATTGCGTAATTTTCCTAGCACACCTCCAGCAGACTTGTTCTGTCGGTATCACTTTGGGCGCGCTCGAGTAGCCCTACAAACTATCGGAGACGAGCAGAAAAATCCGCGGTATAACTTTATAAAATAAAAACATTAAAAAGAGATAGCGTGCAGAGCGACGGACCGGACCGAAGGCCACGAGCCGTACGAACCAATCCGGCGTCGCGAACCTCTCACGTGATATGTGCGCCGCACTTGACTACGCCCCTCCTGGAGATCTCGTGGTACCCAAACGGCGATGGATTGGTTTTGATGGCTTGTAGCGTACGTTTCGGTCCGTCGAAAGCGAAACTGACTGTTGGTCGCGCTCCCCACCACCACTCTTGCGAGCATCAACCGAAATTTATGGGCAAACAAACAGGCGGATTCGCTGTCCTTGGGATCGATTGAAGACCAACTCAGAGAGGAACAAATTTTGTTTACGTTGTTTCATTTCGCTTCTTTTTTTCTTCTTATGTACGGACGTTTTCCTCTCCGCTGTCGTCCTTTTGTCAGTGGCTGGATCATGGTGGAAGCAACTACACACAAAGAAAGCTGGATCGCAAGAAGAGAAACCGATGGAACTGTTTCCGATTTGTGATTTGGGTTTATTTTTTCGGCGTCGCGTTTTGTGGCCTTCTGCAAGTATATAGGTGTTTCGTTCGGCCACGCGATGGTGCAACGAAATTCGTGTCGCTTTCGACAGTGACATATACAACGTCCCTTCGAAAAGAGGGTGGGAAAAACCACTTTCACGTCGTGATTTACGACGAAAGACGACTCAAAGCTGGAATGACGACACTAAGGAAGAAACAAAAATTGCTAATCGTAAAGAACGAAGCTACCCCCTTTCTCCGGCGAAACATCCTACTAAAGTGACAGATAGACATCAGCGCGTGTGCGATATATTGCGTATATTTATTGTGGCGACGAGCAGCCCCCACTCAGAAGTCTTGTCCTCTATTATTACGATCTACTGTGTCTTTTTTGGGGCCTTCCTTTTAATCGCACAACCATCACTGTTTCTGTATTACGTCGGAAATGGCAGAAGGATGATGAGAGCAGACGAACGGCAGGCAAACCGGAAACGGAAATTGCGTATTGAGCTTCCAACAGTCCTGCTTTCGCGCCGCCGCCGCCACCGTGCTTTGCAAAAAAAAAAAAAAAAAAAAAAGAAGAAAAAAAAACGCGCCGTTGTGGATAGTTGCGGATGCGTTGTGGCGACGGTGACGACACGTTGATAATGAAACATCGCTCGCGACGCTAGCGCCGTTTGATGCGTAGCGGTAGTTTGGTAAACGTTCTCTCCGTGTCGTCCGCTCGCCGCAGCAGCTGCAGCGGCGGCGGCGGCGTCTCGCGTTGCGGCGCCGGCGACGCCACAACAACACAGTTTCAGTTTGGCTTCGGCGGCGTGCGCGGCGTTAACTTTCCCAGCGCGGAGCGTGTGTTGAAAGTGTTTCTTCTTTTGAGAGAAACGACTCGTTCCCGAACTGTGTGCTTACTTTTTCTCCGTCGTGGTTCAGCTTTCGAAGATGTTAAAAGATATGTAGACATCGAAAGCTTCGGAGAAAAGTGCCGGTTTTGGGTGTGTGGCGAGGAGGGGCAACTCTCTCCGAAGATAAAAAGGATTTTCGTTTTTCTTCTCGTTTCATTTTCACGTTTTTGGTGGGTCCGACGTCGGAATTTCGGGAGATAAGGGCCTCGTCTACTCCAAAGTTCTCCACCGGTGCCACACTGGATTCTGCGACTTTGGCCATTCAACTTGAGCATTCGTCGGTCGGTAAGTGCCACTACTAGGTAATGCACGTTTTTGACAAGACTCGTGCTTTGTTTGTTTTTGTTCATTTAGTTCGTTTAAAAGTTTGGTACGATTTTGCTACTAACCGAAAGACCAAAACTGTAAACAAATATATTTTTTTTCTTTATTTTTCTGTTGAACTGTAGCTCATCTGTCACCTTTACACACTTCTACATTTATTCAATAGTTGTTCGTCGACGGCAGTTGTCATATGATTATGCCTTTGCATAATTTTAAGAACTTGGTGATGTCAGAAAAGGATATTCTTGCTTTGTTCGGTATTTTATGCTCATACCGTTAGTATGTTTTGATGTTCTTTTCTCGGCTTTCCGTCTGCGTTGTGCCGCGACACCGTTGCTATCGGTGCACATCATCAATAAGTAAACAAACAAACCTGCCCGTAGACATGTGCGTACGGCATTCACACTTCGTCTCTGAAACGTTTGACGGGAGAGTCGCTTTGTGCGCAGTTACGGTTAGCGCGAATTGTAGAACTGCCACGGAAGCGGCTGTCACTGGAAATGAGGGACAGCGTTCCAACGCAGCCGCACGCGTCGTGTAGTTCTCCCCCACCTAGCTCGCACCGCTGCGTTGTGTTGGTGTCGTTGTTTGCCCCCGTGCGTGCGACTGGTGCAATTGAACTGCGTAGAAATTTGTAATTAGGGATGCCGCGCATGCCGCGAACCTCCCGGTGGTCGGGATCGAAAGATTTCGAAAAGGTTCGAATTTGAAAAGTTCGCATCTTTCAAGCCCCGCTGAAATATTATTAAAAATAATAATAAGTACAATAATAAAGAAATATCGAAAACGTTAACGGTTTTGAAAGTTCGAGTTCGCAGAGTTCGAATTTCTTAACCGTTGCAGATTAAAAAAAAAAAAAAAAATCGGAAATTTCGATTTTTATTAAATTTTAGATTCGTAACAAAAAAAATTTTTTTTTTTTTTTTTTCATTGTACGAAGATGGTACGAGATCAGAAAGGCCGAAAGTTTGAAATCAAGTTCGAAGTCCTCGAATCTCACGAGCAGAGATCGAACTCGCCAGTTTCATATGCAGTTTTTTGACGGATTCATCTAAGAAGGAATCGCGAAATGTGCTACAAATTCCACTGAAAATGTTTTACATTTCTTTTAATGCGCTGAGTACTTCTTCCTTCTCAGCGTTCTCAGTACTGTGGTGGTACATACGACACTACCTGTAAACTACTCGTCATTTATCCCAACTCACGAAACAGGCCAAACTTTCACGGACAACTAAGGTTTTATGAACTGCGTGAACGGCGTGAAAGGTTTATCGAATATCCCCGAGACGATCCGGTGATCGTATTTTCTCTCTGTCTCTCTTTGCAAACTAGCAGTCCGTCCTATTTTCCCCCTGCCCTGCTCCTGTGGGTTACCATGCCAGTATTGAACCAGCTCGCCTGTCCACTTGCTTTAGAAAAACACACGACAAGCCTAGCGCAGAAAAATCCAAACTTCCCAAAAGTTTACTTTTTACTATTATTATTATTGGGGCGCTTATATGTCGGTGGGATGTCCCGTAGGATGGAGAAAACGCCGGACACGGGCACAGCACCCGACACAGCTCATGGCTGAGGAAAACGCGACCAGACAAAATTAGAGGGCGCTCCGACCCCCTAAGAAATAAGGCCCCTGTACTAAGAAACGGCTGATGGCACTGCCGGTGTCTGGATCTTATTTTCTTCGATGAATAAAGACGCTGGCCGCTCTAAAACGCAGCCGGTTCCTAACGATAGTGGTGTAAGCGCCGATCCAGCGTTCGCTGTACAGCGCGTTCGCTTTGCGCTCCTTGCGCGCCTTTCCGCGACCAACAGCTACCGAGGTACCGGGGGACTATCGTTGACAAACAACTAAGGTATTTCGGAGAGCGTCCCAGCTATACGTCACGGTTGAATTTCAAGTCTGCAGAGCATGCAGCGACCCTTTGGCCAGCCGGGTTGTGCACGGGCAGATTTGCGTAATACTCGTTACATTGTGATTCATTACCTTTTGGAATATAAACTTTTCCGAGTAATTTTGTAATAATTTGATGACATTTATTAGGAGGTCATCGCAAGTGTAATTTGATTACCTATGGAGTTACCAAAAATTACTTGTAGACTTTATCATCTTTCTCTCCTCGTCCCAATGGCGCCCTTTATGGGGACGAGTTCCCCACCAAGGAACCCTGGAACCAATAACCTTTCTTCTCAAGTAATCAAGTAATATAATTGACTACTTTTTAACCAGGAGTGCTTGTGATTGTATTCGATTACTGTTTTTTTGTTGTTTTTTGTTTTTTAAAGTGACGTGTACAAGAAAATAAAAACACTTATGGACAAGGACAGACGGCACAGTTCTTTTCTGGAAGCACTGTGCCGGCACTGCCGTCTGTTCTTGTCCACAGGTGTTTTTATTCTTTCTTTGATTCTTGGAAGCCGAACGAGAGAGGTACGAGGGTTCGATGAGGCCACCCCAAAATCATTCAGAGCTCTAAGCGCGAGTCGTTGGTGGCACGATCGGCTAAGTGAAACTCCTGCAGTTGTCATTCCACTCCACGCGTTCATATATTGGTGTTATTTATATGTATTGCCTAACTTGCCCTAAACCTTTGAGGGTTGAAACTTTGGTTCGAACTTCGTCCAATTTAGAAGGTCGAAGGTCGGAACTTTTGAACTTGCAGGTTGGAAAGTTCGAAAATAGTCGAATTTCTGGGCGCCAAGAAATCAAAAATTCGAAATCTTCAATTTTTTTTTTTTTTTTTTTTTTGTAATAAGTTTGACATTTCGAAGTTCGAAAAACACGTTAACGTCATATCTGTTTGTCGAAGTAATTCACTCGTGGCCCTTTCTAAATGGGCCCGGTTAATATACATACCCGCTGTACGAACTAACCTTTCGGGGACAAACTGGGTAAATACTAGGGCTGGCGCCGATTAGATATTTTAACGCGATTAATCGGCACCTTTTAGTCGATTAATTAACCGATTAATCGGGTTCGCTGATTTCATATGCATAATATATTAACGGGGACATGTTTCCAATTCTTGCCTTTTGCTGATTTTTGTTTTACTGTGTGATAAACGACGTGTATATATTTTCAATTTCAAGTTCGATGTGTTGTTGAGAACAACAGTCCAAAGAGGCTTCAGGCTTATTTTTCCACTTGTGGATGCAGAGAAGTTCGTGGATATAAGATACCCTCCGTCAGGAACGAGCTCACTTGCTTGTTCACAATAGTCACTGCTGCGCTAAACAGACACTCGCCTGGCGTTGAAGTCACGGCGTGAGGTATAATCTTCTCGCCTTCCTGTGGGTTGCAAACGTCGCCCCTGCAGCTTGCATTACATTTAAATTTCACCTAATGTTTACCCTTCATATTGGTGAACTCCTCCTCGTCTGTGAAGTGTCCAATACTGAAGCAAGTAAAAGTGGCGAAGGATACTCCGCGCCCCTTCCCTCTCAAGGAACTTATCAGTTAAAATGTAACGTTGCTCGTGTGTTCTCGACCCAACCAACTGCAGACGAGGTCAATCGTTAAAGGAAGGTAAAAAGCGGAAATAATTGTTTTGCCCCGAATACCTCAAGAAGATAGAAAGATAAAAATATTACTTTGTGCTTTCAAGTATCGCTGACTAGTTCTCCGCCGTTGCTGCTCGCAGTTTCGACTATTGTAGGCTCTGCAGTTTTCGGAGGGTGCCCGGCGATTTTCTTCGAAGGCATGGACGGCTTTTGGCGTGAGCCGAAGAAAGGAAACGTTGGGTCCTGCGGCTGCCAACATCCCGCTAACCATGGAAACGCCGTCCTCTTTCTTTGCGTTCTCGTCGGCGAACGGCTCGCCCGTCGACTTTGGAACGAACGAGAGCGCCGCTGGTGACCAACTTAGTGACTTTAGATACATAAAAATCATGAAAGAACTCACTTGACTACTCCAGAACTCTGTGAAAATCGGTGTTTTTCTTTTCTACTAGTTGAAGTTTGCTAATGTTTGTCTTGTTTTATTTCGGTTCGTCACAACTCAACCGATGAACTGGTTAAAAATTGTCGCAATTAAACCATTAATCGATTTATCGGAAGGTTAAACGATCGATCCCCCAGCCCTATTAAATACATGCATTGTTGTCTCGTCACTATGGACAAATGGGCGATTTTTGGAGGGAACGGAGTTTCCGATATTAACATACGAAGCTCTAAGCAGTGAGATGTGCTCGTTCCGCTGAGGGTGTGTCCACGTGCAAGAATGAGATATCCGGTGTAAAACCGGTATCCGGAAGAAAATTTTAATTTACGTTTTAAGTGACAAACGCTGCTTGGGGAAGGTGGAACAAGGTTTGGAAAATCACAGCGTGCGAAAACTCACTAGGTCACACCTAACCACCGAAGAGACCATGTGGTCCCACTGGAAACGAACAACAAGCACTGGACGAATGTCAGGTACTACTTTGTCGCCAACGTTTCTTGCGCTTCAAGCATCACCGACTAACCTCACAGAACGACGTGTTCTGCTGTCAAGCGGTCATTACGTAAACTCGCCACAAAGCGGCAGCTCTTGTCCTGTCAGCGAACAAACTTCGGCCGATTTCGAACGCTACCGGCGACCAACGCGTTGGGAGCAAGCCACGTAACAGCGTACACCGTTTGAATGTACTCCTCCTGTGCAGGAGCGATCACGTGCCCGGCTTCTTTGCTCCGTCCGATTGGCTTACAGGAGCTGGAGTTTTTGCTGCTCGCCAAGTCCCTCTTTGGGGTTCTTCGATGCAGCGTCCGTTGCCTTTGCGCTTCGACCTCCGGCAAAACTGTTTGAAAGTTACCTCTTCCCATCCGAGGGATGAGTGGAGATACCTGGTTGCTACATTTGGTTACACTGTAATGCTGAGTCATGTCCTAGTCGTCCCTTTTGAAATACCGCTGACTATTTTTTTTTTTATGTTTGTGATTAGAAAGATTTGAGAAACCATTTGAAGGTCGTTTAGTGTTTGTGTTAC